GGTTTTTATTTCTTTTAAGTGATCATTAATAAGGGAAACTTAGTTCCCAAGCTATGTGTGGGGTATGCATACAGTTAAAAGAGCATACTCTGTGATTTTTTTTCTTCTGTAAAATTTGCAACTGTAATTAGTAAATTACCTAAACTCCCCCCTCCCATGCATGTTGGTCTTACAAGAGCCAAGCTCTTTGCCTCTGAATTCATGATAGAATTCATGCTGCTATTTTCCCTCCCCTACTCTTTCTTCCTGAACTTAAATTAATTTTTCTGGTAACTCGGGGGTCTTGGATCAGGTTAAAGGTAAAACCTCCTCTTGAATACTCACTGCAAAAGGTAGAGCAGAACTTCTTGGCAGTAAAGATAGCCTTTTTTTTAGCAGGAGTGGAACTGTAATTTTTGCTAACCATTGAAATAATCATTCTGGTAGATCACTGCATCAGACCTTGTTCCTCTTTAGTACTTTTAAAAATAAAACAAGTATTAATGTCTAGGTGCTTAAAGTTTTCCAGATCTAGGGTAGACAGAGCCTGGAGAAGGGAATAGATACCACATCAGTACATAGGTAGATCTACTGATGACATAACTGAAGATTGAAATCCTGCCGATTGATACCTAATGTTTCTGTTGTTTAAAAACAACTCTTTAAAAGTTGTAATCATGAGACTCTGTTAATTTTAAACACTGTTTCAAAAGATAGTGTTAAACAAACACCTTTCTTTATGGATGCCTTGCTTGTTTCCCCACTGGCCAAAGAGCAGATGTGGATTTGGGGAAGATTCCTGCACTCTATGATGGTTATATTCTTATTAAGTGACTCTGCAGTTCTGCTTCTTGATATTAGTGCATGACCAAAAGTCTTGTCAGTAAATGTCACAGAGAAAGCAAATTATTACCTTAGATACTGATAACAGTAGTTGTACATACTGATAACAGTAGTTGTACATTTTGGGAAGTGTGGGGTTTTGCTATTTACCCTTTTTTGGCTTACAGGAAGTTTATCTTAATGTAGGTTTTCTAATGATAAAGTTGAGTTGAATGATTTAAAATGTCATTGGATGGATATGGGGGAATAGGTCTATCAGAATCCTTCCAAATTGTTTCTCATCTAAAATGTACAAGTTTTCTCAGTGTTTGCTGAATAGCTGGGATAATATTTTAATGCTGGAACTTAAAGGTTAGAATGTAAAATTTGTACCGACAGTGAAAGTATATATTCCATGTTAGTACATCTCTTGGAATATAGCTTGATGTATTCCATGGTTTAAGACTGAGCAGCAGGATTGTATTAGCTGGCATCTCAGCATAGTGTTCAGATTTAGATTCTTTTTGAGTTCCCTATATCATTCTGTACATTCTCTCCGATGGTCGATTTCATCTGATGATGTAGCATGAAGCATGGCTTCTAATTACACGTATACAGATTTGAATCTGTGGGATCACTGTAACAAAAAAGATCAGGCTTGCATGTAGACTATTTGGCAGTCTGTCTGTTCCAGACAGCATATCCTACTATCTTCTCCTTGTCTTCCCCCTCAGACCAGTTAACAAGTTTGCCAGCTAAATAACACCTTTTTTGCGTTTTACAGCAATTTGCCAGGATTTTCTGAGCCATGCACCTCCTTTGTGCTGTCCTAATAGATCACCTTCTCATGGAATCTTACTAATATTTTTTTTGAGAATGTAAAAAAACAATTGGCAGCTGAAACTAGGGTAAACTCATCTCAAATAAGACACTTTTGAGATTGTAGTGCACTGAAGTTATGCTTTTAGAAGGCAGTGTTGCTGTAAAGCTTGGCAGCTATGCAGATGGCTGCTTTAGATCACATACCAAAAGAAATACTGCAAGCTCCCAGTTGCTGCATGCTGATGTGCATTGAACTTTGGCTTTAGTCAGGCTATTTTGAAGGCTAGTGGACTGTCTAATAATTTACCTAAATAATAGAACAGAAACTTAGGTTTTCATGGGGATTTGGTCCATAATCAGGATTGAGACCACCTTCAACGATATTTATTTGTGGTTTAGTGCAGCCATGACAAACTATCTTTCTGTAATGCAAATAAATGTGGGAGTTTTGGTGAAGATTTTTATCCCTGCTATTTAACACTGGCAAAGACTGCAGTGCATCCAAGTTACAGCTGAAGGATGTGAAGTTGATCCCTAGCTGCAAAGACAAATGGTGTGGCAGTGTTAGCAGTCAGATACTTGCATGACAGCATGACACTACCTAGTGTATCTTCTAGAAAATGGGAAGATTTCTGGAATAATGAATAACCAGTGTGATATATTGAATATATTTCTTTTCATATGTTGGCAACAAAAGTATATTTGATGTTCTTATATACTTTTTTTTGGTGTGTGTACATTTAAATCTACCTCTTGTCTTTAGTTGCAACACTTGTATCCTTTGTGTTAATATGAATCCAAGATTTGTTTGAAGAGTGTCACTGTCTGGTAAAGAGGTAATAGGTGGTGTGTAATTGTTTTTAGATGGGGGCTTTAACTGTACTGTGGATTAGTAACAATAGTTTATGGCTCTTCAGGAGAAAATGAGTTCTTCATTGTAGTCCACAGTGTAATAGGTTTTCATCATCATAAAAATCCATCATTTCAGTTAGTATTTCCTTTTCTTTGTGGATACTGCTAATCCATAAAACCAAAGTAATTCTGTCAAATGTTTATTTTGTCTTTCTTTGCCCTTCTTCCTATGATCAAAAATCTTTTGGGTAGACTAGAACAATGTTCAATGACCTGATTTAACTGTTTTAAAAACTTATTCCTCTGAGAATACAGTACTCTAGATAAAAAATTGCATTAAATTAATCTGTGAATGCTATCTTCAGTGGTGCTTATTAGTGTAGTATCTTGCATGAGTATGTATTTTTACTGAACTTTGAGAAACACAGAATTAAATGTTAAAGCTAACAGTTCTCCATCCACTCTGCCCCCTACATGCCAGAGTCTTTAGTGCAGGGAATATGCATGTATAATAAATGGGACAGCTTGTACTTGCAGTTGTGAGTGAAAACTTGTTCAGACAAGTTCCTTTCCTCCCCATGTGAGTAGACCTTGCGTGAATTTATGTAACTCTGAAACAAGTTCTTTAAAGATATCAACTTTTTGAGGAACGATAAATATTCACATGTATTCTTCAGTGTTCTTGACAGCTGTAAAATATGTACAGGTAGGTGATAAAAATGCGAGAGTCCTGACTTTTGCAATTCCATCCATGTGGACGTATCTCATCTATACAGACCCCTTTTTAAATAATACCATTTCAGTAATACCATCCTGTGGCTATAGGAATCTGCTCATGTATGTCATGTTGAAGGGCTGGAACAGTAAGACAAAGATGAGATTTTTGTAATAAGTAGTCCAAGTCAGAAAATTTGTATAAAAAGCTCTTGCGTGTTACTGAGTCCTGATTTTTGCAATTCCATCCATGTGGACATATCTCATCTATACAGACCCCTTTTTAAAGTCTCAGTAATACCATCCTGTGGCTATAGGAATTTGCTCATGTATGTCATGTTGAAGGGCTGGAACAGTAAGACAAAGATGAGATTTTTGTAATAAGTAGTCCAAGTCAGAAAATTTGTATAAAAAGCTCTTGCGTGTTACTATATTCATGTATAATTTTTCTTCAAATCTTGTTTTAACAGTTGGCTGTTTCTGTAGTGTGACTGGTTCTTCACTTGTTTTCTCACTTTTGGGTGTATTCAGACTACCTAATCACATGCTCAGATGAGACATGCATGATATTTGTAGTCATCCAAGTTCTTTCCTGTGCTTACTGTAATCAATAACAAATTTCACTTGTATCATTGTAACTAAACTACTATATACCTGCCCTGGGCAAAAAAGAATATCTGTTCTTCTATTTAAACAGCAGTGCAGAGCATAATGAGGAATATAGATCGAAGAAATTTCTTGGCATTTTTTAACCTGTCAGGAAGTGATATTGATGACTGTAGTAGCTTCTGCTGTTTCTTAAATATTTCACTTTTTTCTCTTCTTACTAAAATATCAATAAAATCAGTACGCGAACATACAAATACCTCATGTCTGAAGCTTGTTAGGAGGAAAAACCCTCCTCTAGTGCATTAACTACTCCAAGCAAATCTAAAATTTAAAACTGTTAATCTCTTTCTTTGTATCTTTATGTCTAACTTGGACTTTAGGTCTTTAAACTCAATTATGTTATATAAAATATTGTAAAAGAATCTTATGAACAGAAAATATAGCAGGCTGTAACAAAGACTTCATATGAACTGTAGGGTGACCTTGTTTCTTTTCCACATAATTTCTGGGTCTGAACAATGATCACTCCATGTTGGATGCGATGAGCTCGACTGGGTGGAGAACTTGCAAAACCTAGGTTCAGTTACTGGAACAATAATTTTCCATTGAGTTAACATAGCTCTTGACACACCCTGAGCGGAAACATGACTTAAGACATGGGCTTATATAAAACCAAAGATGCAGTATTTGGGATTCAAATGGGTAGAAAGTAAGCACCGATCTCCAGCAGAATCACAACTTGATGCACATGCAAAAATATGGAGTATTTATAGGTAGTCTTAATGTTAATTGTCATAGTGCATCTGTATGGGGCTTGGGTTTACGGTATGTAATGCTTTTCAAGCCTGTTATATATGTGAGTTGTCAGGAATCTTGAGCTGCTGCTTATGAGTGGTGGCAATATCTTTGTAACACATATGAAATAAAATCACTTCTTTCAGGAAAATTAATTCCATAAGAACTCAAAGTAAAACGTTTTTGGTAGTACCTAGCTATTTAAAATATTTGTTCACTTAAAAGATTTCAATTAGGGTTTTGAAGTTACATGAAGTAGTCATTCCATATTTATTCAACTCATGCCATAAGTAATTCCTAGCTTCTAGATAGTAACAAACTAATGTTGTTCTGTGCCTTTTCATTTTTGGAACCTGTCAGTCATGAGCATTCATAATTGTGTTTGTTTTTTGTTTCTCTCTCACACAACCTAAGGACAATCTATTTTTCAAGTTCTTCAAGTATTCTTGCACAACGAGGAAAAAGAAGAAACATTCCAGTGAATGAGGAGTTTTTTGCTTCTATAGTGTTTTCCTTGAGAAGTGGATCTTTGAATGAGGATGACAATGGAAGAGATGAAGAATGAAGCAGAGACCACTTCTATGGTTTCCATGCCTCTTTATGCTGTTATGTACCCTGTCTTTAATGAGGTAAGCTATGTTTTGCTTTAGAATGTAATAATCCCCTTTACACTGGGAAATATGATCGGAGTAACAGGTTGCTCATCTTGATTGGGAAAGTTTTGTGTTTAACACCATCTTCTTTCTATGCGTTGTTTTACCCTTCTTTCCAAGAATACAGTTTCATGCTCGTCAAAGATTGCTAGTTGTCTTGGCCCTGATCTTTTCTCTTACCTTTTACGGAGGATTTTCACAAAACTGCTAGGTCCTGCATTCTGTGGTGGGAAGTAACATACAGTTGAATATGTACCTGTGAACAGCTTGATACGTTTTAATTTTACTGCTAATGGCTATAATTTAATAGGATATTTGTTCTTCGAGTATCAGAGATGGTAAAGATAGTCACAAAAACTTCTGTCAGACTTCTGCTGTTGGCTGGATAAATGCAAAATATGTCCAGTGACAAAGTATCAGAGATGGTAAAGATAGTCACAAAAGCTTCTGTCAGACTTCTGCTGTAGGCTGGATAAATGCAAAATATGTCCAGTGACATGTTTGATTTTTAATGTTTTTATTTGGGGGGGAAGTGTTTCCTTTGGGATCAAACTTTATAGTATCTTTCCCTCAAATGAGACCAGTAATTTGAATGCTTCTGTCGGTACCCTTTTTCATTATGCTATATAAGGCAAGGCATGAGTACGTGACTTGTTTTGTTCTGATAACATTAGAATTGTTAATAATTCTAAACTTTTATTGCAGCTAGAAAGAGTAAATCTATCTGCAGCTCAGACACTGAGAGCAGCTTTTATTAAGGTGAGAAGTGACTTATATTGAAGAATGATTGTTTAAAAGGTAAACCATATATGATGAAGCTAAAAAGTCAGCTGTCATGTTTCCTCGTGTCTTTGTGTTTGAAGAATGCATCCTTGATCCAATAGTCATAAAAATAAAGCAGACAATTGCCTGGACTGTAAGTTTGAAATGTCTGAAAAAGTTATGAGTAGAAATCTGAATGATACAAGCATATTGAGCAATTTTAAACAAGCAGAATCTTGTCTTATCCATGTAGTACAAAAGCTTGTATTGAGGAATCAGTGAAGGTAATTAGGTAATAAACTTAGTCTAAATATGACAAGATTATGTAGAATAGGTGCTTGAGAGAAATAGACATGTAGCAGACTTTGAAAATGGTTTACAAAGTGAATGGTAATGGGATTATTTTGTGGATAAGGAGAAGTTAAATGCTTGTATTTGCATTCAGCAGTAAATGGAAAAAATATTCCTCTAACTTATCTGTTATATTCCTAAAGAATGAAAATACAAATATTCTTTTATATGGCTTTATTGAAGTGGAGAACTTTTAAAATTCTTTGAGCTATGCAACTAAGTAATACTTCCCTGTTTCTACACTTAAATCTAAGTGTACCTAGACAGTCTTAAGTCTCAACTAGAGGCTGCACAAGTTAAATGTTTTTATGACTGGTGGTAAGGAGCGAAGCTGAATGTAAATAATGTAAAAACTGAGATATGGGTGGAAATGGTACTGCTAGCTAAAAAAAAAACCCCACACCCTCATTCTTACTCAATACAGCATATTTTTTTGATAGCAGGACAGATAGTGTGGATACCTCCAATGTTAGTCTAGCTTAGCTTTACTTAGATATGTCATAAATCAAAAGCTTTTTTTTCTGCAAAAGCAATTCCACGATGAAGTTTGAGCATATGATGTGATTCATAAGAGGCACACTTATAAAATGTCATGTGGAAGATGGGTGAGTAGCACCTGTTTGAGTGAATTAAATCCCGATGGATACAGTATCTGTCTCAAAGCTTAGTGTTTATGAAAATGTATCAGAATATAGAATTTCATGAAAAACTTTCTTATTCAAATTGAAATGAGTGAAAGGCTTGTTGGAAAAGTTGTTTATACAAAATCACTGTTGTAATCTGAGAAAAATGGATACTGTAGTGGAAGAATGGTTTTCAATGTAACCTGCTAGTTAAAAGCCATTAGACTTTTAAAGTTGCTAGCAAAATCCTGCAGTATATGAAGCACGTTACATGAAAATATCCCTTTGTGCTTGCAGTATTCAGGTTTATGCATATTTAAGAACAAAAATTTTCTTTGCCATACAGGCTGAAAAAGAAAATCCAGGTCTTACACAGGACATAATTATGAAAATTCTGGAGAAAAAAAGTGTGGATGTGAACTTCACAGAGTCTCTTCTGCGTATGGCAGCTGATGATGTGGAAGGTAACATCTTATCTCTTATGTTAAATATGTGGATTTTTAATTACGCTGTTAACTAGGAACACTCATTTCTGTAAGCCTGTTTTCAGAAGAGGTTATTTGTTTCTTAATAGACTTTTTTTCAGCATGGTAGAAAAATAATTGTGTTTTCTGAATACCTCTTTTGGAGAACTTAAATCTCCCTAAAAAACATACTTGACTAATAATAAGAAGAAAGAAAATGAATGTTTAGCACTATGTTTATGTGGGTGCATAGCTCACCTTTTGCAATGCTAACGACCAGAAAAAAGCATATATAGAGTCTAACACTCACCTTCCTTTTCTCTGCTTCAAATTAAAAGCAGTAGCTATACTGTCAGAGAAAGGGAGTGTACAGTGGGCTTTAAGTTATTTTAATACTACATTTGATAGTGTAGTGTCTTCAGTGTCTCACTTAAATAAAGATGGGCTCTTTTTCCAACTTGCAGTAATAAAGATTGTTGTTGCACTGTGTTTCTATTGATGCAGAGTCTATTCACTGTAGTCTTCTTGTCATGGCTATTTTTGTGCTGTTCACCTTCAAATGTAACATGGCAATACTGCTGCTTTTTGTGAAGTAGTGTTTTTAGCTGTCTCTAGTGACTTCAGGAAAAACTAATGGTATTTTTTAATACGTTCTTCTTGTTTAGAGTATATGATTGAAAGACCAGAACCAGAATTCCAAGATCTTAATGAAAAGGCACGAGCACTTAAACAGATTCTTAGTAAGATTCCTGATGAGATCAATGACAGAGTGAGGTTTCTTCAGACAATCAAGTAAGTACTGTATTATGTATTTTTTCAGATTGAGGAGTCAAACTTTTTGTTTAAATCTGAATGTTCAAATGCTGTAGGAGATGCTAGCAACACTGTTCCCATTGGAAAGGAGTCTCATCCTTGCTTATAAATGAGCAAATTTGAGGATTTTTAATGAGCCCCATGTTACTAGACCAAACTTAACTTGCTGATTTCTATTTGAATTCCTGTGTCACTGGTCTAGCTTTTTGCATTTGGTCTTGCTACATCCTGACACATATTCTGTAGAGACTGTTTTAAGAAGTATTTGACTACTAGAAGGGGATTAAATTCCAACATTTAAACAGCATAGTTTAAATGTATTACAACTATTGTTTTATTGCCAAATAGGGACATCGCAAGTGCAATAAAGGAACTTCTTGACACAGTAAATAATGTCTTCAAGAAATACCAATACCAGAACCGGCGGGTATGTGCAATAACTTTTTTTATACAATACTTTTAATAGTATAAGAGGAAGCACATCCTTTTGATCAAAGGATGAATAGGACAGCTTAAGTGGTCAATGACATAATACTTTAACAACAGGATTGTTGTATGGTACGTCTCAGCAGTTTTATAAGAAGGTGGTTTTCTCTGTATGTCTTCTAAAAAAAAAATCAAAATTTCTATACCTGTGTAATGTTAGCCAATCTTCTTCTCAGTTTAATGTCAAGATTCTGACTGTACCAAACAATATGTGAACTAAGACTCTGCTCCTGGTGTTTTGTTTCTTAGGCACTTGAGCACCAAAAGAAAGAGTTTGTAAAATACTCCAAAAGTTTCAGTGATACTCTGAAAACCTATTTTAAAGATGGAAAGTAAGTATGTTCTTGTACTAACATTTTATGTAATGAAAGGTCTTGTTGACTAACAGGGAAAAATAAGACAAGCTTTTGGGTATAAGCTACCTTCTCCAGGAGTTCCTAATGTTTTCTTTCACCTGTGTCCTCAGATCATCATGCCTGCTTTAAAATACTTTTATTCCTTTTGTAATGCTTTTGAGGAAGGGGAAGTATGTTTAAATGCACCACCAGACAACACCCATGTGCAGTATTAGCTTTGAATCTGAGAAGTTAAATTTCATGGCCTTGTGTGGCTTTTTTAGTAACAAAAAATTTACAAATGCTTTATTGAAACAAGTAATCTACCTATTTGAAATATCATTTGCAAACACTAAACATATGTGCAGTGTTTTCTTTGATTTACATTTTTATTGTCCTTTCTTTATACCTCCTTATAGTGCTTCACAGTATTTGGAATTACTCAGCTGATTAATCTTTTTATATTTGAACATTTTAGCCTTCAAACTGGGGCTGTTTTCAGGTCTTCACCTTGGGTTTGGAAGTCACTGTTCTTGGACATGTCACTGTAGTGACTGTTTCAGACGATGAGCATATCCCCCCCCCCTCCGCCAGAGTTTGACAGTGCGAAAGTGCTCTATGTGCTGCTGTTCTAAAGATGAGGACTAACTTTCATGTCTCGTCTTGCTAAGCTTGGCAAAGACTGAGAGCGTTACTAAAGGAGAGAGAAGTCTTGAGACCAAAAAAAAAGTTGTTTGGAGGATGTGCACTGCCCCCCCCCCTCCGCCAGAGTTTGACAGTGCCAAAGTGCTCTATGTGCTGCTGTTTTAAAGATGAGGACTAACTTTCATGTCTGGTCTTGCTGAGCTTGGCAAAGACTAAGAGTGTTACTAAAGGAGAGAGAAGTCTTGAGACCAGCTGTGAATACTACCTTGTTCCTATTAAAGCATTCTCTTTTTTTTTTTTTTTACTCCTCTTATTGGGGCTAAACATGGTTATGATACTAAAATGAGAAATTTAGACCTTGGTACCTTTATGATCACTGAACAGATGTATAGATAATTTCACATGAACTAGGTCTAAACAGTTTCACTTGATTAGAAAACTATTTGACTGAAAAAATGGGGAAAGGGTTGGACATGTTGTGCAGGTACTCCAGCCACGCTGAGACACAGCTTTGTTTAGCCCTGTGTGAAGTGAATGCTGTGCTGTGTATTGTGGGCATAAGCTTTAAGAGTGTTAGGTATTATCAATATTCCAAGAAATCCCAGGTTAAGGCTTGTATTTCATACCCTTGTGGAGTCAGAAGTAATTTAAATCTGAACTGCGTGTTGAATAAGATACCCTGCTCCCACCAGCAAGTAACAGCTCTGAACCAAATAGTCATGCTCACAGACGTTGTTATTGAGCTGAAAAACCTCAGTGACTCCACACCTCTTTCTTAACAAAAAGATGACTAAAATAGTATGTTGCTTCCATATGTGTGTGCTTAGTATTTCTTGAGGAAAGAGTTGCAAATTATGAAGTTACTAGGGATTAAGTGTTTAGCTTTGAAAAGAAGAGGTGTTTAATGATCATTGGCTCCACCTTTTTCTTCGTTTACTGAGTGACAGAGATATCAATGAGGATTGAGAGCCAAAGTCTTTAAGTTCCTGCCAGTAAACATACTCTTTCTAGGATTAACTATGTAAATAAGTCTGTTTACCAGCAGTAAGCTTCAGGTAGATCATAATGTAGTAAAACATCAATATGCTTCAAATTTGCGGAGCGTAGATGCCAATATATTTAGTTGCCCAAACTTCATGCTGTATTTGTTGAACGACGTAATTCTAAAAATGTCTGAAGCAATCTCTTTCTCTTTTAACAGGGCAATAAATGTGTTCATAAGTGCCAACCGACTAATTCATCAAACCAACTTGATACTCCAGACCTTCAAAACTGTGGCCTGAAAACTGTATATGTTGAGAGTTGTACTTTTCAATGGTGGATAGGGTACCTTTATATGTAAATTTTAAAGTTTTGACTGTATAAATTATCAGCCCCTCTTGAGGGGCCTAATGCAGGATTTTGAATGGGATTATTGCCATCTTACACCATATTTTTGTAAAACATTGTAGCTTAATCATAATCTCACAATGAAGATTTTGCATCACTTTTTGCTATTATCATTCTTTTCAGAATTATAAGCCAAAAGAATTTACGCCTTAATGTGTCATTATGTAACATTCCTTATAAGAATTGTAAATATTTGATGTTCTGTTTCTGACATTTTAACTTGAAAGCGGAAAACTGCAAGATTATGTATTTAACAATATTGGTGGCAAATATTCAATAAATAGTTTACATCTGTTAGACTGTCTTTTTGTATGTGAACAAAAATGCATAACTCGTATTTCTAGAACTGCAGAACATTCATTAAATGGAAGAATTAAAATTATTTGGGTGCTGAAAGCTACTGGCAGTTTAAATCAGTATAAAATGAGGGGGTTTCCTTAAAACCAAGGGTTTTTTGGCTGTGATCTAATACTGGACCAGAATACCAGAATAATTCTTTTAAGATGTCTTTAACAAAATAATGAAGAACCCCAGAAGTGAAAGTGCTTTTGTTTTTGATAGAAACTAAATCTCACTTTTTTCTTAATCTGGTGGTGGTGAGTTAACAGGTTTTTACTCTAGACTATTCCAAGGTTTTGAGGAGAAGATTATTTAAAATATATGCAGCAAAGGGCGAATTTAAAATACTGAGAGAACTGGGTTTTCTGTTGGTACCATTTTGGGAGGGAGGAGGAGAAAAGATAGAACTCTTTCAGGTAGCACTAGTGATGCCTTTACTATGCATGCCATAAGGCAACATTTTTATCAGGGATTGAAATCATGAGACACCTCGATTGACAAAACCTGTCTATGTAGATGGTTAAGAACTGCCAATGGACAGATTCAAATGTTATTGTGATTTTTGTGGTAATATTTCACACACTGTAATGAATATCTTGTATGCCCCTTTGAAGTGCACCTTGAGTTTATTTTGAAATGCAATCTTTATAGAATAAACCTCTGAAAGGTTTTAAAATATTTATGTGGCCATAACTAGTAAGTTTAGGGAAGAATGTGAAGCAGTTTATAACACTGTACAAGCTGTTGCAGGAGGATCACTTCAGAGTGAAAGAGCACAATTGCTACAGAACTATTCCGTGTTTTGATATAAATGATGAAGAAAAGGTACATCCAGACTTTTTGCACACTGGCCTGGTGCTGTATTGCCCTGGGGGCAAGTGCCTTATCTAGAGTACAACAGCTGGGTCTTTCAATTTGGTTGTCTGCTTAAGTGATCTAAAAGAGGAAATTGGTATCCGCAGCCCTCCAAAATAGTACTGGATGTTCTGCTGTATATTTCTGCATGGAAGTGTTACCTTGATGAAAGCACTGACTAGTGAAATATAGCAATGTGAAGGAGAGTATTATAGAAAAATGATTTCTTAGGAATGTATGTTGCGATTTCCTTGGTTACATAAAGCTATAAAGAGGACATGGTCCTTAAAGCTTGCTGTTTAGGCTCTTTCCAGGAGTTTTGACAGTGGTGTTTTGTGTTCACTAGCAAATTAAGCTTAATAACATGACAAAGGAATGCATATACAATTTCTAGTTAAAACTTTTTGTTATTTATTAAAGCTTGGCATGCTCAAATGTTTCTTGGAAAGTGGTAGAAGAGAAGCAATGTTAGCAGCCAAGGAGGCAGTCTGACTAAATTAGAGTAATACTTAGTTTGCATCTTTGAATTCTGTAAGTATAAAGGTTTAGTAGTCTTCCCTGCTGATGATTTTAAGTTGTCATAGCAGCAAAGGGCTTAATGAAAACCAATTAGTCAGGTAGAAGAAAGGGGAAGGTACCCAGAGTTTCTGGTACTTCATATGTCTTGAGCATTTGGTACCAAGGAGACTGCACCAGTGGCTGTAACGAGGGATGTGAAAGCTGCGGTTATGCTTTGTGAATTGGACTTAATTCCAAGAAAATTCTGAGCTTTTTCTGTCTTCTTGGATTGAGAGCTAGTGTTGGCAATAATTAGTTGAATGATACCATGCTTATGTCTGCAGGTGTAGTAAAAAAAAAAAGAGTAGTAATTTATGACTTGGATTCCAAACAAAATGCTGTGTTGTGTCCTGTTAATTGATTCCTTAAAGTTAAAATCAAAGAGGCTGTCCAGAAATGAACTGTTCTGTTCATCAGATCTTCCTAAAACCTTTATTGCGTAAAAGGTATCAAGTATAGGGCTAAGCTTCAGGTAGTCTGGCCAATATGTTTTGTTTAATTGTAACCTGATTGTGATTTCTTTTTGTTACCCTTAAAAGTAATGGAAAATTATTCATTGTAATCAATGTCTGGTAATGGGAAAACTTGAAAACTGTTGTCTTCAGGTCACACTCTTCTGTTGTGTGCAGTGAATCCATATCTAGTGGTCTTACAAACTTTATTTTCCACTGAGTATGAGCTGGGGCATACGTCTGTCAAATCTTATTGTAGTTTTGCACTTTATTCAAGTTACCTGAATAGCTAAAGAGAAGTTTCTCTTAAGGATTTTGAATACAGCAGTTAGTGTTGCAAAATGCTATTAGAAAATTTCTGCTGTGAATATCTGATTTGATAATGTTAACATACAGAAAACCAATCTAATAAAATAAAGCTTTGTATATTTGTTAATGAAGCAATGAAATGTCTTAATCAGTTGTTTTGATCTTTCTCAGTCTATAAAGAAATGAAAAAAAAAAAAAAAGGTTAGATTGCCTTACTTCTGGTTATAAGCTGCTTGTTTTAATACTGATAAAAAGTTTTGTTTAAAAGTCTGTAAGATGTGCCAGGTGCCCAGCTCAATATAAGCTTTATCTCAAGTTGACATAAAGTGTTAAGTATGAAATTTCACAGTGCTCTGGTGTCAGAACTTCTATTTATCCAGACAGTAAGGTGAGATAGTATCAGTCTTGATTAAGCGTTATCTTTTCATATAATCTTATCTAGATTACCACAGAAGTGTTCCTTCTTAATGTTCTTTTTGGATCTTTGTATGTCAAGGGAAGACATGCCTCGGTTTATTCTGCAGGTGTTATCTGATCTCTTTGTTTTACAGAGACTGTGTATGCTTCTCTGAATTGGGTGGGGAATGAAAAGAAGGTTTTCTAGACAAGCTTGCTACAAATGTAAGGTTTAGATTATTCCATGATGAAGGGGAGATAAAATAAATGTAACTTAATGTGTGAGATGCTAACAACCACATTGGCACAGCAGTGATTATCACTTACCTTAAGAGGAAGCACTGGCTGTTCTGCTTGAGAATGTTGCTTTGCCGTGCTCAGTCTGGCTCATCCTCCCACAGGATTTGGCAGTGCCCTCTGAGAAAGGTACCGCAGCAGTTTCTACTTCTGAGCTGTGGGAACTCTTCTGGCTTTGCATAATCACTCGGTGCGTTTGTTCACTTTGACATTTTTCATTCCACTTTTTTCATTTTCCTCCTGCTCTTCTGGGCAGATGTTGCTTTCAAAAGAGACTAGTAGGAAATGTGCTTCAGGAATAGCACCACTTCCTAGCAGCAAACTTAGTTCTAAAAAATAGGACTGAAAAGATGCTCCTGGGTCATCAAAGCCATCATCTGGCTTCCTGTTGCAGAAGTGAAAAACTACCATATAATGTTGATCATAAATCTGTGAAGTTCTATTTTAAAGCCAGTTTCTTTGTCCTCATTCCTCTTGTTAGATGCCATTTTAAAACAGTCTGAAAGGAAAAAAAAACCACCTTCGAATATTCAAGTTTAATATGCTGCATAAATTTAATTTATGATGAAGAATTCATGAACCTTGTCCACAACCAATTGTTCCTTTCCCCCTCTTTTTCACTTAGTCTTGGGATAAGTTGTATGCTGTCTTGGGCTTTACTTTGTAAAGATGCATAATCCCAAATTTTTTTCCCAAAACAAGCGGAGGTATTAGGCAATGCTCAACTTGCTCCTTTGAGGCTAAGATAAAAATTTTTTCTTTTCTTGTGCTTGTAACACAAACTTGAATTTTGCAACAAAATTCATTGGTGATGGTGTCTCCGAGAGGAGGAGAGTCTGGCTCATCCAGAGATTTCTGTGGAGGCGATGTCTCTTCTTAGCTTCTCTGTCCCTCTTCTGCCTCACTGCTCGGTTATCGTTAGACATAGTGCTTCGTTTCTGAGCCAAGGCACAATGCTTCTGACTAGGTACAATGCAAAGCAATTGTCCTGCTGGATGGCGCAAGCATCTTCTCCAAGAATTTCTTATTTTGCACCTTGGAAGCAGAACGTGTGCTGCAGGGTCTGTAGGCACGTTGCCATGCCCAGCACTCGCGAAGAGCTTTTCTCCCCCACACCACATTAGGCATTTACACCAGGATTGCTTCCTAGGTCGTCATGTGTGACTCTTCTCTAGCTTAGCATATACTGCATGTCACCTTCACAGCTATTTTTGCAAGGTCTGTGCAAGCCCATCGCTTTTTAACACCCATTGTAAGGATGAGGAGTGCAGCTTGGCAACATTTGAGGTGCAAGAAGTGTTTGTGCCTGCATTGCACTTGTAAAAAGTTTGGGCTGTGATAACGATACCTGGACATTATCAGAGTATACAATTATAAGATAAAGGGTTTAATCTCTTCCCTTTTTCTGCCACCTTGCAGTGCTTCTTATCACAGGTTGATCTGTGTTAAGATCGGTAAGACTTTACCTGGTAGCATATGTGGTGAGAATTTGCAATTTAGGAGTGATTCTAGAAAGTGTGAGTTGTTGGGTAAAGATTAGTTTGGCCAGAAAATTCCAGTTAAAAGTTTCTTTGCCTAGATTTTGCTATCGCTCTTCCTTTGGAACTTGTTTCTTGATATGAAAGACTCACAGGTAGTTTCTTTTTCAAGCAGTAACCGAAGGTGGCTGCCCAGGGAAGTTCAGTTGGTTCTGTAGGGACCGTCAGGGACGGTGACGCTTGTGAGCACCAAGAGCGAGGGAAGCTAAAGTCTGAGTCTCACCCTGGAGAGAAGCCTGCCGCTCGCTAAGTGTATTCAAGGAGGAAATGTGGTTTAGTGCTGTAACTCCATTACTGGTGACGAGGTAAGCAAAATAGATTTTCAATTGCTGATTTCTAATGCACGCTGAGGTATGCTGTGTAAATGTTTGTGAATTTGCATTTGGTATCACAGTCAAAGGGGTCATTGTACCTGATGGATATAATGACTTTAGAGAATATTTTGTAGTATTTCACTAAGCTAAGAAGTTTAAAACACTGTATCTAAATTAGACATGTCTTTGACATTTTATTATTTCATAATTGTAACCACTAGACTTTTCACAGGAG